TCATGTATAACCGTGGACAAGAGCTTTAGAGAGAAGGACTCACTGGCAATCAACAAACAGCAAACAATCCTTGGCTCTCTTTCCAATCACTTTGGAAACATGGGTGAGCCAAATGTTGAATTTAAACTCGGGATAAATGGGCTTCAGGAAGAGCAGTGTCGGTCTCAAAAGCTGAGGGGCCCAATGGAAGCTAGAAAGCTAGATTTCTAGAACCTTTGGCTTTTATTTTGATATACATGTCTATGAAGATTATGTCTTGGAGCCTTATTAAAGAACAATAAGACAACTCTATGCAGAGTATTCAGCTGTCAAATGCTGTATGTAAAAGATATATTCAGCAATTTTTTACCTGATGTGTTGAAAAATAGAAGACCTATGTGAAAATAGTTAGTGCTGGACTTAATAGTGTTTTGAATATCTACAACATATTCACAATGATTCATTAGAATCAGTTCAACTCAGTTTCAGTGAATTGATTCAAAGCCCCGATTCAAAGCAATACACATATATAGGTGTGTGTATAGGTAATATTATAAATATCCATTATTATTAATCCTTGTGTTCATTTATTGAGAAATGGTTTGGAAAACTTGATTATTTGTGATTATTTTAACTAGAATTATACTTGTATGTATTTAGTCGACATGCATTTAGAAAATCAATCATTCGTTTTGTGTTACTGATCTTACTGTGAACAAATTATCCATTTGTGGGTATTTCATTTTTAAAAATAATAGTTTTGACCTCATAATTTGTCATCAAAATGTCATTTTTAATCAAAATGTCAAACTTGATCTTCTGGTGAAATGTCAAACTTTCTGGCTCCTTCCAATGCACAATGATGGATAGAACTAAGACACCGACTACATTTGGTGTTTACTTCCTTTTGGGAAAAAAAACACCATTTAAAGTAATTTCAGAGTAAATGCATATATACTGATACTGAGCATCGTCAGAAGTATTGTCAAAGGGCCTAAAAATATCAAGACTTATTAATTAATTATTTTCTAGCTCAGCTGCCAAACAATAGTTGAATCAGAACCTTGACTCCTGGAAAGCAGCACTGTTTTTGTAACATCTCCTCCATCCCTTTAAATAAAAGGGAAGCCAGTCAGTCAAAACCTCTTTCATGAGAGAGACAGAAGCAGAAAGAGATGTCTCCTTACACGCTACGTGAAGACTGGCCGATGGCAGCAGTGTAACAGAGGCTATTCTTATCTCCTCCAGATTAACTTCCAATTGTTTTGGGCAAACAAAGGCTGCATCTTAGGAAACCACCCCCTAAAGGTCCAGATGGTCACCGTCCAAGACCCCTGACCTAAAGGGGACACAACTGCACATGCCTCCAGCACCGAAAGGCCACCCAGCAAACCTCGTCTTTTCAGCCAATCAAACAAGGACTCACACTTTTTCATAAGCTCTAAGCTCGTGCTGATAAAGTGGCAGCTTAGCCAGAGTGGTAAATTAGAAGCAGGAGGAACCAGATTGAATTACCACTAAAGCCTGATTGCATTGAGAGTGTATAACTTAATACCAGACCAAAGCCATTTTGATTAAAACCTGACCTCACTTGAGCCTCAGTTCCTCACATGTTTTTTTTTTCTTTAACTGATCGAAACACCTCAGAGAGGCCTACCTAAAGTAGCTTGCATGCTGGGGATTGTAAAGGACTAATCTTTATAAAGCTGTTTGGGAATGAATCATATAAATTTGAAATAAACTGACCACTTTAACAGGTACAACGAGCACATCTTTTGTAAAGTAGCTTTTAAAATAATTTGACTGAATGTGGCCTCAGTATAAAAACCTATAAAGCAGTCAATCGTGCTTAAAGTGAACATTTGCTTTCTTAAACGGTCTAGTCATCATACATTGAAAAAAAATGATACTACATTTTTTTTAAGGTAAGTGGTTGCAAACTATTTATTTTAGCTACATTTAAAGGTGACATATCATGAAAATCGGACTTTTCCAGGTTTTAAGTGCTATAATCAGATCCCCGGTGCATCTACCAACCAAGGAAACGTGAAAAAGATTAACCCAGTAACTTTGTTTTGGTAAGCCTTTTTCTGCAAGCGTCTGTCAAAACGAGCGCGTCTGATTTCGCTCCCTTGGTGACGTGGCAAAGGGATCTCATTATAATATTACCACTTACCTTAAAAAAATTTAGTAAATTCAATGAATCATTTTTTTTAGTGTAATGTTCAAACGTGTATGACTTTTTCTTCTCCAGAACACAGAAGAAGAAAGAAAGTCCTATAGGTTTGCAACGACATAAACACAACTTTGCCAGTTTTCAACCAGCTTTCTATTGTGACATATGTCGGTAGCATATGTAAATGAACAATGTCTTTCTCCATGTTGCCTGCGCTAGATTTATTTGCCAGAAAAAAAATCTGTCAGATGATACAAACATATGAAAATATGGTTTCCACAAAAATATTTTTCTGAAGGATCATGTGACACTGACGACTGAAGTAATGATGTTGAATATTCAGCTTTGCATCAGGAATAAAGCACTAAATTTAAATAAAAATGTAATTAAAACTGAAATAAAATAAATTAAATTAAATTAAATTAAAAACATTAATATGGAAATCAGTTATTTTAAATTGTAACAATACTTCACAATATAAGTGTTTTTCTGTGTTTTTGATCAAATAAATAGGTGCGAATAAGAGACTTTTTTCAAAAACATAAAAAATCAGAAGAACCAGAAGTGTATATAGTGTACACAAGTAAGTATGCATTAAGAAAAAAGGTCAATTTTGATATCATGCAGATTTTTACACACTCTGATCTGATTGTGAACTATAAAAAAAGCTTCTATCTATTCTATGTAATCATTCTTTAAGCTGTAATAACTTGCTTTTTGACTGCCGTCAACCTTTCAAACACTTGTGATATAGGAACCACATCAATGTATTCCCAATGGCCTAATCTTACATCTAAATTTTTCCTCATTGAACATCTTTTTTACTCTAAAATATCACATTTGGTTACACATGTTGTTTCATGCAGACCTCACCAAAAGCTACTTATTTTATTGTATTGCATCATAGTTTTCAGCTAGGACATCAAAAAATTTGATTTTTCTTCACCTTGACTTCATAAAGAAGACCAAAGTCAACTGCATGATAGCACCAGCAGCTGACAGCTTGCCATTTTTTTCTGAGGTGCACTTTCAGCTTCATTACCAAATGCATGTTTGGGAGTCCAGCTTTCTCATAGCTGGCTTTTGACTTAGGCTCCGAAGTGTCTGTGACCTCTAAGGCCACTGAGCAGAAATGTTCAGGGGGTGGGAAAGAATGAGGCCGTGAGGACACAGGAATGTGACCAAAACATTGCCTTTAAACCTTCAGGTCATGGGACCTCGAAGGACATCAGATGAATGCCCAGTTTAGATAGGAATGTGGTCAAGATAGACTGCTTTATATGTGCTGCACCAGGAATGAAACCTAGGATTCCCTGAGGATCACTGACTGAATACGACACTTTAAAACCTTTATTTATAAGATATAATTCAGTTCAGCTCATGACTTTATCTAGTAACAGAGACAGTCACAGAGAGGATGCTCAGTCGGATCAAACTCAAAACCGGATCCAGTCCAAAATGATTCTGAATCTAGTGATTAAGGATTTAATAGAAAGACCATTATCAGTGTTGTGTTGCAAAACCTCAAACAAGACAACATTTCAAAAAGTGAAAGTAGTACCGGTGTAATATGATATATTTCATCCAAATCTATTTTAAACAATATATACTAATTTTATTTTATAATAATCATTCTACTTATAATTAGTTTTATGGCCTCATATTAAATAGCGCAAATACATGAAGTAGGCTAATTGGACAAAAAGCTAAAAGGTGATTAACAATTCTCAGTTTTATTTTATGAAATGGTGACCAGTCACAACAAAATACACTCCAAAAAGGGAGTTTTTGTAGCAATGCAGTATAAGAACCATTTGGATTCCCCAAAGAACCTTTCTGTTAGCAGTTCTTAAAATAATCTTTTTTTTTTTTTCTTAGTGTGAAAAATATTTTAATAATATGAAGAATGTTTTTCCACTATAATGACCCTTTTTGTGTAATGGGAAAGTTCAATGAATGTTAAAGGTTCTTCATGGAACCGTCGATGCTAATAATCAACCTTTATTTTTGAGAATATGAAGTTTGACTTAAAATCTTGGTGTTAAAAAAAAATGTATGTCCATTTTTGTCAGCTATGTCAACCTGATTCTTTAGTTTTTCAGCTTTCAACAGTCTTTAAAAAATAGGGTAATTACAGACAATAAAAAATCTAAATCTATTCTTAGAATGATTTGTTTTACTATTATTTTAAAAAAAGACATTCCCTATCGAAAACTCACCCATATATATTGCTAACTCGAATTATTAACATATTAATGACAGCTGCGAAGTATTTATAAACACATCAAATGTCCAGCAAACTCTCGGTTTTGACAACAGCGTCACATATGATGATGATTTACGCTTTTGAGTTTATTTTGTACAGCAACTTTATGACCCCCAGTGTGGTTTAATTTGACACGACTCCAAAACACATGATCGTTTTATAAACTGTGCGTTATTTCACTCACATTAAGATTATTTCATTGAGAAAGCATACAGGTTTAACAGCATAAAAAGCATTTGAGTAAAGTTTGCTTTAGCTTGTATTAATATTTATCTTTTCAAATTTTCGGTCCTGTGAGCATCTATACAGTAAGTGTTTTCAGATAGACATGATGCTGATTAAGTTAGACATATGATATGCTATCGAGCTTCATTGCTTAAAATAAACATATAATATATGAATATATTGGTAATTTTAGTAAAGCAAGCTCAGAAAGAAGAGTCAAGCTGTCAATCCACAGCAGCAGCCTAAGAATGAACCAAACTCAATTAGTTTGGCATCAATCCTGACTCAAACTTGACCCAACATGTATCACGCACGGGAAAATTAAATACAGTTTTTGAATATGTGATAACTTACCGAATTCTGTGAGCAGATGAGCGGTTTCTTCTTTCTCTCCGCTTCTCTTCAGCGCATTTCTCTTCAGTTTGGCTCTCGCGCTGACTGACTGCCTGCCGCTGGGAGCTCGTGACGTCGCCAGGACTGACTGTATGTTCTGTCACGTCACGTAGGTTACCATGTGTTTTCAGTGTGCATACCTGCCCAAAACATCCAGTTCCGTGAAATAAACAGGGACAAACTGCGGTTATTATTCCAAAGATGGCCAAACGATATTCTTTTAAATCATTTTTTTTTTAAATCCCAGTGAAACCGAATAAGAAATATTCTTAATTTAGTTAATATCCATATATCAACAATTCCTGATTCCCATCTTGCTTTAATAACAAACAAGAACGGTACTAGACCAGCAACAGATTGTGAGCAGCTGAGGACAAACTGTTTATTTGTGAACTAAGCTTTACTTGGAAATGTGAAACATGAATACCATGCATTAGAAATCATGAGAGTGGACAAATTCTGGTGGATTTGTGTGTGTTTTTCTCAACTACTATGCTACTTATGCTACTCATTTTCATAGCTTTTTCTAATTACCGTTAATTACAAATAAAATGTTCATAAACCTCTGGGTTGCACTTTATTTTACAGTTGCCGTGCACTTACGTGTGGTTGTGTGCTTATATAAGGTAATTATTATTACATGGGTTAAGGTTAGGTTTAGGGGTAGGTTCAGTACCTAGTTATTACCCAGATATTGTAATTAATATAATAAGTACATAGTATGCACATGCGTAAAAGGACTGCAAAATAAAGTGCTACCAACCTGACCCAGATAGACTGAAATAGCCTACAGTGAACACTTCTTATATGACCGAATCTTGAATCAGGTAAACAAGAGACATAATCATCGTGATATAATATGTGGGAGGAATGTGAACATAATGATACTGGTATAAAGTTTAGTATAAATTAAATATAATGTTATAAATTATGTAAAGTATATATATATATATATATATCTGATGGAAAATGAAAAGTTGTGATTTTCTATGCAATGATATTACGCAGAGCCTGAAAATAGTCCGCAGCACGCTCCCTGTGCAAGCAGGTGGTCACGTTGGTTATGTTGACGGAAGCTAGCCTATTTTCAGGCGCTGCGTAATATCATTGCGCCTGCTGCACCCATGGTACGGCAGCAAAGTTCCTTGATTATTATGCCGGAATGAGAGTATAGTTCCTAGACATATCGGCCTAGAAAATCGCAACTTTTCATTTTCCGTCGGTCTTAGTACACGATGTAACTACAGAAGAGTTACGTTTTAAATAGGAAAAATATAGAAACTGTTTGGTCATTTTTGAGCAAGATGCTAACGGTCTTATCAGATTCAATGATCTATGCTAAGCTACAGCTAAAAGTGCTACCGCCAGACCCGGAGATCGGCTGAATGGATTCGAAAACGGTAAAACTCAACTGTTTAACTCTAGGGGAGTTGGAAAATGAGCCTATTTTCAAAAATAGTGGCGTGTTCCTTTAAGATCGTTCATACAGATGGGAATGCAGCGCTCCCTACTGGAAGTTTAGATTAAGGTTTAAATGCTTTCTTTCACAAACTGCATGAACTGCATGAACTATTAAAAGGTATTTATTTTAATTATATGATTTTAGTATCTGTAAAGAAATATTTTTTATTTCCGTGTCATCCAGAAAATACATAATTAATAATACTAAATTTTACACTGTATTTCAATTATATATACAAAAGACTAAAATATACTTTTTCTCCCGATCTAACAAATGAACAATCTCTCATCTACATTGTTAGATGACACAGTTTCACTGATGATCCACTACTAAACCCAAACCCAGGATAGAGAGGCTCAGTGAATGTGGTCTGGATTCTGTGGATGAGGCTCATTGTGTCAGAGATGCTGTAGAAGGACAGAATTCCTACACTGTGATCCATATACACTCCTATTCTAGAGGATCTGGAGGACACAGGGAGCTCAGTCTTTATGCTATTGTGCCTGAATACGTAACTGGAGGAAGAACAGAACAAACTCCAGGACTGATTATTAAATCCAAACAATTGCTTCCTGCTGATGCTCTTGTATGACACTGATATACACACACTTTTTCTCCCACTCCACTCAACCTCCCAATAACAGCGTCCACACACACTCTCTTTACAAAACACCTGCACACAGCCATCAAATCTGTCTGGGTGAGCAGGATAATGCTGGGGTGTGTCAGTATAAGTCACTACTCTGTTTTCTTCAGACAAATGGAGAAAACGATTCACTGTGTTTGAATCCAGAGAGAGCTGGCAGGAATCTAATGGAGATAAAACACGATTACATTTTATTGTTAGTTTGTGACTGTAAATGCATACTGCTTTCTAAGTGCATGAGACTGTTCATTGGGTCGACATTACATTCCTCATAATTTTAAATGACTAAATACATAGCAAATTTTTATTTAAAATGTAAATATGCAGAAAGTGTTCTGTGAGGGTTATATTTAGGGATGGGGGTGAGGTCAAAGGATAGAAAATATCATTACCTCATCATATAATTTATTATGTCAATGGAAAGTCCTCATTATGATAGGTGTGCCAGCATGTGTGTGTGTTTGTTTATGCCTTACACTGGAACTGTTCCCTAGTCTTGGGTTCATTAGTGGGAGTTGTTTCAATGCATGTTACTATGGAGAAAAAAACAGATATAATTACTACTATTTCCATATAAAATGTGTAATTTAATATGCTTTCAGATATTCCTACATATTGCATGATATTAATTTCTATGAGACTTCACAGCGTCTCTCAGCTCCTGGAGCTGATTCTGTCTCTCCTGAATTCCCTGTTGGAACTTTCTTTGTGTTTCTCCCAAAAGCCTCTGTAAGAAAACAAAAAGGCTGTAAAATCTCCACCAAATCAGTATGTAAATAAATTGTAATACTCATCAACTTTCACAATGATGATGTTGGATAATGCCACTAGCATTTAGCATTAGCACATCAGTGTCTAAATTCAGTTCATACCTGTTTCTCCATCCTTTCTGCTTCAGCTGTTACAGTGTTGTGGTTTTTATGTTCATCCATTAAACATGGATAACAAATAAATTGCTGGTCAGTACGACAGTAGATTTCCAGTTGTTTGTTGTGTTTTGGGCAGATCATCTCATGGAGTCGTCTAATGGGATCCATCAGATTGTGTCTCCTGTCTTTAAAGAGATTCTCATGTTGTTCAAGAGGACTTTGACAGTAAGAGTTCAGACACTCCACACAGGACTTGACGGCTTTGTATTTCTTCCCAGTACAGACGTCACACTCCACATCTCCAGGTTCAGCTGTTTGTAAGTCTGTCGTCTTCAGTTTCTCCACCATTTCAGCAATTATGACATTCTTACATAAAGCAGGTCTTGAAGTGAAGGTGTGTCTGCACTGAGGGCATCTGTAGACTCTCTTCTGTTTCCAGCAGTCTGTAATACAGCTCATACAGTAACTGTGTCCACAGGGGATAGTCACTGGATCACTGGCCATTTCGCTGTAGATACACACAAATAGAGACACACATAGGACAGCTTGACGACACTTAAGTTTCAGTTTGTTCAGTTTCAAGTTTGGTTCAGTGTTTGGTAATGTGTGCAAAATGTGTTTATAAGGTGTGGCTTGCCTTTATTTTAGTACAAAGTCCACAAATTATTTGGATTTATGAAAAAAAAAAATGTTTCTGGGTAAAAAATAAAACCCTCGTCTAGACTACAAACATAAGCCATGTCAGTATACAATACTACTACGATATGATGCTACTGAATGGAAGCGAGAACAGGTAGACCAGACAGTTCTGAGATGGCCCCCATAGCCATGACTGGGAGAAAAGGTGGCTCAAGAGTAATCTTAATGACCATGACAGAGTGCCCAGGCTGTTTTGGGTGACCTCCATGCTCATGACTTGAATGGCAAGGACTCATGGAGGCAGTAACTGGCAGGACCACTTAAATCGAGACCACCGGGGTAGTCAAGGCTGGGATCGCTGAACAAGGGACATCTGGGACGACCAAAGCCAAGCTTACCGGGATCGCCAGACTCAAGAACCACCAGTCTTGGAACCAGAAAAGGCCTTTCTTCTCCTCCGCTTCTGGAGATGAGGCAAAGAAGTGGGTACGACTGCCTCTAGGGATGCGGCAACAGTCTCGGCTGCCTCAGGGGGAGCTTCAGGGGCGATCATGCCCACATCTGGGATGGCTGCAGCAAGATGAAACATGGGACTGTTCTTCCTCCTCTGTTCCCAGTCCATCGAGGGCTGGAATGACTGAAGGCGGAAGGAAAGTACAGTCACTTTGGGAGAACTCTGTGTATAGTGGAGATTCAGATTCCCCACAATGGTGGATGTAGTCCATAAAGTCTCAGAAAGGGAGCTTCCCCAGCCTTCCTATCTCCCAACACTCTTAAAAATAAAGGTCCTTAAAAGGTTCTTCACAGCAATGCTATAGAACAGGGGTAGGCAACGTCGGTCCTGGAGTGCTGATGTCCTGCAGAGTTTAGCTCCAACCCTGAAAAAAAAACTCACCTGCCTGTAGCCCTGGTAATTCTGAAGACCTTGATTAGCTTGTTCAGCTGTGTTTGATTAGGGTTGGAGCTAAACTCTGCAGGACATCAGCACTCCAGGACCGACGTTGCCTACCCCTACCATAGAAGAACCATTTTTGGTTCCACAAAGAACCATTCAGTCAAAGGTTCTTTAAATAACCATCTCTTTCTTACCTTTTTATAATCTGAAGAACATTCTTTCACCACAAAGAACCTTTTGTGAAACAGAAAAGTTCTGCAGATGTTAAAGGTTCTTTATGGAATCATTTAGACAAAAAAAGTTCTTCTATGGCATCGTGAAGCACCTTTATTTTTAAGAGTGAAGGGCTTAGATCAGGGGTGTCCAAACCTGTTCCTGTAAGGCCACTGTCCTGCAGAGTTTAGCTCCAACCTTAATTAAATACACCTGAACCAGCTAATCAAGGTCTTCGGACTCATTTGAAACTTCTATAGGCAAAGTATGTTTCCAGGACATCGGCTTTCCAGGAGCAGTATGGGACACCTCTGGCTTAGGGGCTCTGTGAGTGTTAACACTGTAGTCCAGGTCATCCACCACAGCTAAGAAGTCATAGGCAAAGTCTCTGATGTCATGAGACAAGCTGGGTCATCTGATCCCTAAAATATGTGAGGTGGGAAGAGTCCTCTAGTGGCCAGATTGCTGTGTCACATGCAGGGTTCAGGAAAGGGAGAGGACTCAATTGCAGAATGCAGAAAGGCTTTTAATTGAATTTTAAAACTAAAAATGGCAACATAAGCTACCCGGAGGGTCCAGGCAGGATTGGAGCTCACACGGCACAGAAGGAAAGGACTTGGCAAAACACATTAATCCTGTATGTGTAATATTTTAACTGAAGCAAATTTCAGGCCTATGCATTTGATTAAGAATATTAACAAAAATGGTAAAGCTTGCCTCTCATTTAATGAAGGTCAGTTTGGGAGCAGCAAGCACATAATCTTTCAAATAATTGAAGTATGCAATCAGCCGCTTCTCACTCTCTGCTTTCAGTTGAATTGCCATCCTTCCAACTCCCCAACTCCACCTTCATTTAGTATCTTGCCTTATATAAACATCTACTATGCATTAATAGTCTTTTGAAGGGTAATTGACACCAACTCAAGCTGAAGCCACTTCCTTAAGCAGACAGCAAGCCAAATATGTGCAGCCATAATAGCTTAAAGATTTTATGGATAAACAAACTTTTTTATGAAACTGGTTTATGAGGAGAATGATTTGTGAGACTAAACATTTCCCATCATTCTCTGTGGCAGCACAAGAATTTATAAAATGCAACAAGACATGCATTACACACCTAATGTGCATCTTTTACCCTTCTTTATGTTGTAAATAATAAAAAAAAGTTAAAATCACAATGCATGATCTGGAATAAACTCAGTCAGATTATTCTTAAATTGTGCAATAAAGTGAAATAACTGTGTCATTAGACAATTTTATTTATTTTTTTTGACTCAAGGCGTTCTCCTTCAGTAGTCTTTCTTTAACACAGTGGAATGTTTTCGAGGACTGAAATGAAAATGAAAAAGAAATATGGTGCAGTAAACAAAATAATTCTGTGAATGTCAGTGACTGTCTTAATTATGGATTCAACTTCTTTTCAAGCGCACAAAGAATTTTGAATCAGGTAAATGGGTCACCTTTCAACCCTCACAATACTCAAAAATTTTGGTTTTAATTTCCCATTTGCTTTATGTCATGTCATAAATATAGACACTCAAGTACTATAAAAACATATTAGCTGAGCTCCCACACATTTTTTTTTTTAGATAATTATGGGCCATTATTTGAAGCATAAACCATAAGATATGTCCACCCTGTCATGGACATATATTACTGTTAAATACGTTTTCATTGCAAAATTAAGAATGATGAAAATTATATTTTCTGAAAGGTATGATGTCCCTTTCCTAAACAGGGTTATTTGTTTGCTTTCAAATTATAAATACATAAAACATTTGATGTAAACCATGTGTTTTTAAAGAAACTCATACAATTTGCACATGTATTTTTCTTATTTGGAAAAAACTGTGATATTTGGATGCAGTTTTTTGTGGACACATAAAGCAGAACACACAAAGCATAACAAAATATGACAAATAAACATTTATTCAACTTCGAAAAAAATAATATAATAATAATAAATAATATAATTACATCCTCAATCACATTGATATACCCCCACATTCATTTGAGTTTTTAGCAATATTAACTTCAAATGAATGCTATGTCCACCCTGTCATGTGTATGTCCACTCTATCAAGTCTAAGTGGCCGACAAGGTGGAAATTTTGGAACAACGACAGGGTGGACATTTTGAGCCTCAGTTAGCATATTAGCTTACAACACACTGTGACTAGCTAAATAGTTAGTCTGGTTGTTGAAGAGAATTTGGTATATTTAAACTTACATGTTTTGAAAATACTATATCACTTAATCACTTCTGGCATATTTTTTTGCAGACAGGGTGGACATTGCTTTGGCAAAGCAAGTAAGCAAACTCATACGAAGAATATTTGTCAATTGAAAAGTCACTAACTTATTCACCTCAGCCGTTGAAAATCCCGCCACTGAAGAGACAAAAAATCTGTTGTCCTGATGTCACTAAAGGGGATGTCCTTTTTATAAAGGGGCGGATTGCCCAATACGACGGGGTGGACAAACTCTTCTTTTTTTATTAAATAAAAATATCGTTTTTATTTCCAAATGATCAATACACTCAAAATTCAAATCTAGAAAATGTATCTAAAGAGCCAAGTAATGCTTTTGTTATGAATATAAAAACGTAGCCTAATATAACACACACTTTCATAGTCATTTTTATGTTATCATGGCAAATTAGTTATTTATGTACAGGACACCAAAAGGCACCCTACAGTGATACTGACCCAAACACAAAGTGATGCCAAAATTAAGTCTAATCACCGTGATATATGTGGGAGGAATGTGGACTTTAGAAACATTTTTTATAAAATCAAAATCAAAACAGCTTTATCAAATACAATTGCCACTCATATAAACAGTGAGAGCGCCCACTGCTGGGGGTTTAGGATAAGATTTATGTAACAGCAGAATCGCATGAACATAAATGTAACTACTAAAATATATTAGCTTTAAAATTATTAAAAGGTCTTAGTATCTGTATAGAGTATTTTGTATATACAAGCCTGTGTCTTCCCGCAAAATGTATTAGCTAAGGCATTCTTCATTCTTATGTCTATACGATACACAATTTTTACCCAGTATGTGAAGGAGACATATGCAGAATCCCTCATATACACAGTTTCACTGATGATCCACTACTAAACCCAAACCCAGGATAGAGATGCTCAGTGAATGTGGTCTGGATTCTGTGGATGAGGCTCATTGTGTCAGAGATGCTGTAGAAGGACAGAATTCCTACACTGTGATCCACATACACTCCTATTCTAGAGGATCTGGAGGACACAGGGAGCTCAGTCTTTATGTTATTGTGCCTGAATACGTAACTGGAGGAAGAGCTGAACAAACTCCAGGACTGATTATTAAATCCAAACAATTGCTTCCTGCTGATGCTCTTGTATGACACTGATATACACACACTTTTTCTCCCACTCCACTCAACCTCCCAATAACAGCGTCCACACACACTCTCTTTACAAAACACCTGCACACAGCCATCAAATCTGTCTGGGTGAGCAGGATAATGCTGGGGTGTGTCGGTGCAAGTAGCCACACTGTTCTCTTCAGACAGGCGGAGGAATCGATTCATTGTGTTTGAATCCAGAGTGAGCTGGCAGGAATCTAATCGAGATAAAACACAATTAGGTTAATGTTTGTTTGTTTGTGAATGTGTGTGTAATTTATGTTGTAGAGCAAAACATCCAAGTATCGCCAATTTATATTTATCACAGACCTCTATTTTACTCATAAATTACAAAACCCCATTCTTTTCAAAAAGAAGCCTGGGCATTCTACCTAATACTGTAGGTCCTTTGAGTTTTACAGAAGAAATTAAAAGTTATATGGGTTTGCAACAACATGAGGATGAGTAAATAATAACAGAATTTAGAATTTCATAATGTGTACAGTATGTGTGTGTGTGTGTGTGTGTGTGTGTGTGCTTCATAATTCCTTACACTGAAGGAACTGTTCCCTGGTCCTCATTGGTTTATTGGTGGTCATATCAATGCATGTTACTATAGAAAACAGACAAAATTAGCAAAATTTTAATGTAAAAACGAGTATATTTTAGTATGATGTACTTGCATGATGCCAGAGTTATTTTTGAGAGTAAATGAATGTCTGCTACAGATACTTTACCTCTATCAAAGATCTTTTCTACCTCTTCTTTACAGAAACCCTCTAGTTTTTCCTTCAGTTGAGAGACTAAATTTGCCACATCATGAAAAGAGATGAAAAAACTGACTGTGATGCTGCATAAGTCTGTAGATTCAGGAGGAGCGGCGATGTACTGGAACATCTACAGAAATATCAGAAAAAAATAAGGATGAGTATGAATGTTTTCATCAGCATGATTCTGTCACAGCCATCTGCTGGAGTGCCCATGACAGCCACCAGAGGGCACTCCACCCAGATCATTGCCTATTGCTTGTGGACTTCGTTTCCCATCACCCTTTGCTCTGTCTATCAGGTCTCATTGTTTCCAGCTGTGTGTCATAAGCCTTGTTAGTTCCCCTATTTATACACTGTTCACTTAGCATTGGGTGCTGTAGTATTGCACTGTTTCTGTGTGGGCTTTGCTGACATCTGTTTTTTGTAGTACCCTGTGCTGGTGGTCTCAGTCTTTTGCCTTATGTGACTCTTATTAAAAGCTGCACTTGGATCTTTTGCAAAGTCAGAGTATTCTGTCACAGAATACTACAGCCAATACTGATCCAGCAGCATGAGGGACAAGATTCTGCTCCCTGAAGGACAAGTCTGTCTTCAAAAGCTGGAGAGACTTTGCTAAAAGGGAATGGAGGTGTGGGCTTTCACCCAGAAGTTCTAGACAAGGGCGGACAGACTGGGTTGTCAGGATGCGGACATTAAGGACATTTTAACCTCTGCTTGGATAAACACCTGGTAACATCATTGGATTTATGGATCTTCTCCAGGTACTTGCAGCTCCGCTAGGAGGGAAAGGTAGTATACCACCACCAGACTTTACCTGCAGGGACTGTCCCATCCCCACCTCCCTTGGCAAGTCAAGTCCTGGACCCTTCATCGATTCCCACACTCGAGCAAAGGTCGAGAAGGAGGAGGGCAGCAAGGTCCACTCCTGTCAATCCTGAGCCAGCTCCAGAGGAAGTAGCTCCAGAGTCCGCTTCAGAGGAGGTTGTTCTAGAGCCTCTTTACAAGATGACCACCAGCCCAGAGTCTCTTCATAAGATGGCTGCCACACCTGAGCCTCCAGCTGTTTTGGCTGCCACATCAGAACCTGTTATGCCACTCCTGTGTTCCCAGTCATCGTGAACCTTGCAATTGAACACAATCAGGCATTGCAAAGACACTTGGGGCTGATCGCTAGTTTGGCGATCCACCGCTGATTTCGGCCAGAGCAGCTGGTATCTCAAGGGCCTCAGAATCCAATCCAGAAACCTCACCAGTCCAAGAGCCCTCAGAGTCCACTCCAGAGCCCACTCCAGTCCGGGAGCCCTCAGAGTCCACTCCAGAGCTGTTCCAGTCCAGGAGCCTTCAGAGTCCACTCATGAACCCACTCCAGTCCGGGAGCCCTCAGAATCCACTCCAGAGCCGCTCCAGTCCAGGAGCCTTCAGAGTCCACTCCAGAGCCACTCCAGTCTGGGAGCCTTCAGAGTCCACTCATGAACCCACTCCAGTCCGGGAGCCCTCAGAATCCACTCCAGAGCCGCTCCAAGTCCGGGAGCCCTCAGAATCCACTCATGAACCC